ATCTGTCTAGCTTCTGTAGGAGTAACACACTTCAAATATGGACCCGAGAAGGAGCGTCTGTGTAACTGATCGTGCATAATGGCATACTTTGCTGCGCTGGACCTAATTCTTTTTGCCTCGTCCTTACGCTCGGGGAGTGTACCACTACGTATGTAAGCCATGATTGGATCAATCCATCTCGGCTCATATGGTATGACATTAACATGTTGAGTGCTCAGATCAGGCAGTTCTTCAAAAATGGAAGGTTGGATCAGTATGTCGACCGGGATGACCCTAGCTAAAGTATCTACAGAACTGAATGCACTACAAGCCAAGCAATCGGCATCTTCGTTGTACTCTCTCGGCAATTGGATAAACCTGATCTGATCAAAGGCTTTCGCCTCACACAGAACTGCAGTTCGGTATGCTTCTATAGTCTCGTCCTTGGCCCCATAGTCCCTATTGACTTGTCGAATGACTAGTTGTGAATCACTATAAGCCATCAGATTCTTGATCTTCAATTCCTTAGCCAACTTCAGCCCAGCTATCAACGCCTCGTATTCTGCTTCATTGTTGGTCGTGCTGAACTCTAGTCTTATCGCTTGGCTCAGCGTAGTTCCTTCTGGTGTTTACAATTGAATTCCAATCCCGGCCCCCATTTAATTCGAGGAGCCGTCCATGAAAAGCTTCCACCAAGAACAATTATAATCCTCCACCGTATCTTCAGCATCACAGTCAAGTAGGAAATCCGCCACCGCTTGACCTTTGATTGCCGTCCTGGGCTCGTACGTGATATCAAATGAACTCAATTCAATGGCCCACTTGGTCATTCTCCCCGACAGGTCCGGTTTGTGCAGGATCATTCTCAAAGGGAAAGTTGTTAAAACGACGATTGGATGAGATTCAAAATAGTGTCTAAGCTTCCTTTTTGCGTTGACCAGCGACAAGATCATTCGTTCGGCCCTAGAGTATCTTCTCTCCGGTTCAGACATCGTCTTACTAACATAAAACACCGAGAACTGCTTGCCCTCTTTACAACGGATCAGAACGGCACTGGTTGCTATACTGGACACCCCGAGATATAGAAAAAGTTTCTCATTCGGTTCTGGAGCAGACAGAACTGGAGGATTACGCATATACTCCTTCAGGCTGGTTAGTGCCTGCCGTTGCTCATCCCCCGAGGTTTGTCTTCCATGCCCTCGTATTATATCAAAGAAAGGTTTACAGCGATCCGAAAGCTTGAAAATAAATCGGCTCAGTGCGGCTATCCTGCCTGTGAGTGCCTGCACCTCTTTAATTGTCTTTGGCTCTGCATTCCTGATTAAGGCTTCTGCCTGTGCTGGGCTGACCTCAATTCCTCTATGATTGACCACCTGTCCCAGGAATTGTCCGGAGCTTACACCGAATGAGCATTTGGCCGGATTAAGCTTCATCCCATACTGGTGCAACACATCGAATACATCTTGCAGGTGCGCTAAATGATCACTATTCTTCTTACTCTTGACCACCATATCATCAATGTAAGCCTCGACAGTGCTGCCCATCTGGCCCTTAAAAATCTTGCTGATCAGCCTCTGATAAGTAGCTCCAGCATTTTTTAATCCGAATGGCATGACTTTATAGCAATAAGTCCCTCGTTCAGTAACAAATGAAGTTTTCTCTTCATCAACTAGGTCCATAGGAATTTGGTTATAACCGGAATAAGCATCCAGGAAAGTTAACCGCTCATATCCTGTGGTGGCATCTACCATTTGATCAATCCTGGGCAATGGGAAACTATCCTTTGGGCAGGCTTTGTTTAGGTTGGTGAAGTCGATGCACACTCTCCATTTCCCATTCTTCTTCTGCACTACGACAACGTTAGAGAGCCAGGCCGGGTACTGAACTTCTCTGATGAATCCGGCTTCAAGCAGCCGATCAACCTCCTCAGCTATAATCTGGTTTCGTTCTGGAGCAAATCTTCTCTGCTTCTGCTTCACTGGCTTTGCATTCGGATCCACATTGAGGGAATGGCAGGATACAGTAAGATTTATCCCTGGCATATCCGAATGGCTCCATGCGAATACATCTGCATTCCGAATCAGGAAATTAGTCAACTCTAGTCTCTCTTCTTCAGTAAATTTGGTGCCCACCCTTGTTGTTCGGTCTGGTTTTCCATGATCAATCTTTACTTCATGAAGGGGTTCTGTGGTCAGATCTGGCGGCTCCTCCCCCCCATCCTTGCTGGGAGAAGGGTTCTATAATTGCTATTTTGGAATGGCGGAACGGATGGGATTTTTCCCTTTTCTAGCAGATTTCAAAGTTACTGAATAACATTCTTTAACCGCAACCTAGTCCCCATGTATATCTATCACCTTGGTCCCATCCGGACCTAAACATTGCATCACTTGATGTAAGGTTGACGGAACGCCCTGAATTCAGTGAATCCATCCTCTGCCCATCAAGAGGTTGTATGATGGATAAATTTCCACTACCACGAAACTTTCAGTCAGAACCCGCTCAGCGGCTTGTACTATCAATTATACTATTCCAATGGGTTCCACTCGCTTCCCATCAAATCCGAGCAATGGATTCCTTGTGGGTTTGAGTTTTTCGGGTGCGATCTCTAGTCGGTCGAACGTCACCCTGGGCATGACATTCGCACTACTTCCTGGATCAATCAGGACTCTCCGAACCAGGCATTCTGCAATTGTCAAACTGACGACTAGTGGATCTTCATGAGGAATCTGAACGCGTAGTAGGTCCGCTTTATCAAACTTTATCGATGTGGACGCGTTCTGCTGGTGTAAAGCATGTACACTGCCAATTATTCTTTTCAGTTGGGCCTGGCGTAACCTCGTCCTGAGCAACTCTTCTGACTCGGTCGTTTGTTCAGGTCGGCCATGAATTGCGTTTATAATCCGGACGGGTTGGGAGTTGTGTTGGTTCAGCCTCTGGTTTCGCTTGATTTTCTCAGTCGGGCGGTTATGCTCTTGCGCTGGACCCTGAACATAGCTTGCAAACTCCCCCTTTGTGATCAGCATCTCTACCTGCCTCCTTAGGTTCCTGCATTCGTTAGTCTGATGCCCAAAATCACTATGGAAAGCACAATGTTTAGTCTGATCCCTCTATTCAAGAGGTTGCCTGAGTGGCAAAGGAGGACGAAACTTATCTTTGTTCTCCTGGTATAGCCTTGCTAAAGTGACTCTGAGTGGACTGACTGATTCCTCCTCCCTGGGCCTCTTCTCCGCCTTCCATGAGGGGTGACGTTATGGTTGAGCTTGTTTTTGCCGGATCTTGGCTTTGGACTTCTCCTCCGTCGAAATAATTGACGTCTTCCTTGAATTAGCTGCTTCTTCCTCCTCGAGGCGAACAAAATCGTCTGCTCTCTCGTTCAGCTCGTCCATTGTCTTTGGCGTATTAACCACCAAGCTAGTGTGGAACGGCATCCCCCGGTTCATTGCGAGTTTAAATGCTTGGACTGCTGTTGACGGGTGACACTCTATTACCATGCTCTTAACGAGGTTGAACCGGGTGAGAAAAGCTTGGAGCCGCACATCATCATGCTGCTTCATTGCAAAAAGGCTCGATACATCCTTAGCCGAACACTTATTCCTGTAATACTGGCTTATGAACTTATCGCATAAGTCCTGGAAACTGGCGATTGAGCCTTGAGCCAGATTCTTGAACCAATTGAGAGCTGGTCCAGCCAAGCTCGTAGGGAAACACTTGCACATCAAAGGATCATTATTAGTGTTCAAAGCCATTTTTAACTGAATATGGTATATGTGATCGACCGGATCGGTTATTCCGTCAAACAGAATGAAGATCGGCATGGAAAACTTCTTCGGATTCGGCGCGTTCAGGATTTCATCAGTGAACGGCGATGCGACCGTCCTTGCTGAGGAACGCAATGCTTCGTTTTCTCTTGAAAATCGTGACGAAAATCCTCGATCGGCAGATCTCCTTTCCGAGCTATTGTAATCAACTGTCGCTAATGAAGGTCGGTATGGTGGATTGAACGACCTATCCTCCGCAAATTCACTCCGCCATGGTGACGCAACCCGATGTTCATACGCCGGTGCTTCCTCCCTCATAATCCGTTTGTGATGCGGTTCCAGACGAACAGATCCTTCTCGATCTTCTACTCGGCCGACATTCGGAGGCAGATTACCAATTATATCTTCATCACGACGTAGACCACCACGATTGACATCTTCTGGATCACCGTGACGATCAGCTTCGGACGATAAAGCACCCTCTCCTTCAGAAGGTGGCCTCGGAATTGCAAGAGCCTCACGATGCTCCATTCCAGCTCGTAGCTCTGCATTTTCTTTCCTCAAAGCATCGATCATGTTCATCAGCTCGTCGAGCTTTGTCTGCTGGCCGTTCTCTAAAGGATTCGAGTTCGCCTCTCCGATCATCATTCCAGATCGGAGCAAAGTCATCAACTGCAGACTTCTTGACCAAATCAGAGCTCCGCTAACGCGCGCACACCAAATCTGAACTTACACTTGCTGAATTCAGTCCGCTACTGGCCGGATTCAGTAATCACAACAAATCGCAATTGTGCAGTTCGCCGGATCAAGCACGAATCTGATCTGCTTGGATCGGACGCCAATTTTCCGAAATCAACCGGAGCCTAGACTTGTCAAGACAAATCGTATTATCACCAATGTTGATTCAGCTTTCGCAGATTAATCGTCTTCCTCGCAGAATGCGTTGAATCGACCCGATCTGGAATGACATCAATCATTCCTTCCTGTTCTTCCCACAGACGGCGTCAATTGAAAGTACAAAGAATTTTTCCCTAATTGTAGAGAGAGAAACTTTACACTCTCAATGATTTTTTCCACCCCTTTTCCCTCTCAATCCCTTCTATTTATAGACGGTTACAACCTTCATTGAGCTGGTCCTATCCTGCTCTCCTTTGGCTGGACTCGATTTCTCTCATTCTATCATGGGCTTCTGAAATGGCTTTATGGACCTGGGCCCGTACGGCGCGAACTGGCTTCATCCTGTTCGTCCACACCCGACCCATCCTATGCAATGTGGATCACTCCAAACCCAGGTCGTTTTGGTATCCTCAAGCATTGAGCATTGTAGTAAGGACAAAAACAGTGACATTCAGAGCACATATAGTACTCATTAGTAACACCATTAACAAAATTCAGTTTCAGGTTCCTGCAGTAAATTTCAGCTGCACTTCGAGGACGAAGCAGCAAGTCCTTGCACTTCATGCTTTGTAGATGTTCCTTGTCAAGATTCTCAACACTTTCATATAAGTTGTTCAAACAACCAAGGTCCGCTTCTAGTGAGTGTTCGCAGGCAAGTCTCAGAATGTTTCCTATAGTCATAGTCATGAAGCTGAAGAGAACATCAACAAAATCCTTCTTGGACTCAGCAAAAACAAATTGATTTTTCTCTATTTCCACCATCACCTTCAGACTTAGACTTTGTAAAGCTTTGCTCGCCGTCATTTGAAGGGGAAAAAAAAGGTAGACAGCTATGTGGCAGATAGTTCAATTAGCAAAATTCAGCTTGTATCTGTAATGAATGTAACCTGCATCAAAGTTTCATAAACCATTAGAAACTGATATTCTCTTTCCCTACAACTTCCCTTTTCTGGTGCAGGAGAAGCATTAAGAAATTAGTCAATCAAAATAATTCCTAGACTGTCTTTGTACGCTTAATCAAGTAACTCTTAAAGCATAAAAGGCACATAATTATACCCATTTTGAATAATCAAACCTTTGAGTACTGAATGTAGCTGGTTAGGAAAAACAAGAGACTGAAACCGTTTCAAATTTTATTCATAACTGATTACAAAGTGTGCACATCAGTCATGTGGTTTTAGTTGACTGATCACAGTGATTTTAGACTCAAATTGCATAGAAACTAAAAATCAATTTGTCACTGCGCCTTTTGGTGAAATTAGTAACAGTAATGACAACCAAAATTGACACATATAGTATGCTCTAATATCACCAATACACTATGAAGCATTTATCCAATCAGAGACCCAAAAATATTAGTCAATGACATACCATTATCCATTAAATCCCAAGCCAATGCTAAATACACTATATATATATATACTACATGTTTTCTACAAATTGATATATATTACATATATATATACTACGGAGTACATGTTTTCTACAAATTGCAATCAAGGTATTCACCTATGTGCCTCTTCTCTTCAGTCATGTTGAAAATCAAAATAAGAAGTTCCAGGGAAAACAACAAATTTAAACACTCAATACAGGAAGAGATGGTACCTGAACTGATCAACCAAGACATACACAGCCTAAAATTTGTGAATATTGTTTTGTGGGTTGTTGATGGTTAGATGACAGGTCAACTATGGAGGATTGTACGAAAACAAAATAAAGTAGCAGAAAATGTATAAATAAAAAGTGACAATCCGCTTTAGCCGTCCTGTGTAGAGGAGGAGGTATCACACACACCGAGGGACGGCAAAAATGTCCTACTCGGTTTGGAAATAGCTTTGGGAATGCTTGGTTGGGCATAGGATGAGGGACCCATTCTCCCCGTTAAGTTACCAAAGGAAGAATAGTGATGTGGGACCGGACAAGGTGAGGAGGGGAGAGAACTCCCCTGCATCTGGGTGGTATTTGGTGTAGCACCGAAATAACAATTTTAATTTTTTTTTTTTTTGTTATTTTATTTAAAAGTTTAAATAGTTTGGTCATGTCACAAACTCACCTCTATAAGTCCGACACCTTAATTATTCCGATTCATTCTCCAACACTAGACTTCCAATATCCTTTGTGATAATAATTTTAAACTCCTCACAGATTGTTTATGCTAATAACAATTTTGACCTTTTCGAGAGATTCAATTCTGTTTATGGCATAAAAACGACATTAAAAATATATGCGTTCCGTACACCAAAATGAGTAATACAGTAGCCTACTGAACCAACCGGTACATTTTGTTCAGCCTAACAAAATTTAGAAGTGCCATGAATGGAATATTTATTGAAAAAGAAAAAAAAAAAACTGCTTTTTTTTTTCTTTTTTTTCCACCTTGAATTGCATTACATTTTGCAATTTCACAGGTACATAGGCAAATACTTCTCCCCAAGGAAGACTGCCAATTGTCTGAAAAGTTTAAACTTAGAAGTGCAACAATTTCTATTTTTTTCCCGAGTTCTTTGTTGTATTCCGTATTTTCTAGATTTTAGAACCTGTGAGGTAAGAAAATAAAAAAAATAAATAAAAAATAAAAATCATAAATGAACTCTTTTTATTTTTTTTTTGATAAATAAAATTATATAAAAAATGCTCAAAAGAGGAGCAGATCCCAAAAGAAATCCACAAGGCCAAAGAGAGCCTCTAAGCCTTCAAAGAGGCCAAAAAGTAAAAATCATAAATGAACTCTTTTTATTTTGGTTCTTTTCCTTTCCCTTCTCAATTTTCCTTCCTTCAATGGTTGGCAATGGGGCGGTTTGGAGCAGAGATCTCATTCCTGGTCTCCATTCCTGTTTAATTTTTTCACCCTCATAACTATCTCAAAACCCGCCGATTTTATCAAAACATCTCCCATCCCATTCCCCATTTACATAATATGCTCCTCAAAATCACCGCAAATGGGGCGAGGCCCCGCCGGGTTGGAGATTTTTGTCATCCTTACTTGCGGCTCCTTTTTTTCTCATAATATTTAAGACGTGAAACAAAATGAGAGTTATGGTTTCCTCCTATGCGTATATATATACTTAACCTATTTTAGTAATATATCATAATATGTAAAGGTAATTTAATAAATTTATAGTATATTTGGGACGGGGCAACCCTAACCCGAAACCGCCCCAAAACCCATTGAATTTTTTAAAGCCGCCCCCATCCCGTCCACATTAACATGATCGATTCCCAAAACCACAGGGCCGGGCAGACCCCACTGGGGTGGGCATTTTTGCATCCCTAATTCTTGAGAACTAAATAGAGACCGTATAAAGTATGAAAAATAATTCAGTATTACTAAATCACCAAGGAACAGGCTCTCTCCCTCTGAATATAAAATGAGACAGCAAGAGTCAGAGATTAACAATCAACATCCAGTGGTGTATTGCCAAAAAGGAGAAAAAGACTTTAAACAGTGTTAAAAATGGTTTAGGGTAGAAACTTTCAAACAGCGAAAAATAAACATTTCAATAACACCATGCATACACCACCCATAACTACCACAATTGTGACCAAAACAAAACAGCATAGCTTTATTACAACTGATATTAACTGATATTTGAGTCAATAGTTGAGAACATATACAAACACTAAAAATACAAAGAAAGCAATTGACATAGATGACATTAAAAAAAAAATATTTGACACCAGGTTCATTCAACATTGCATTGTTGTAGAGTTTCTTTTCCAATCATGTGTGAATTCCCATAGAGCTTCAGCTTTGATTCCGTAAGTATGAAAGTGTCAGTCAAAGCAGTTTTCGACACCAAAGCAGCCTCCAATAGACGCAAGGCCTGCAACGGAAGTACACATGAATGGATAAACAACCATTTGTTCCAAAAAAAAAAAAATTAAGCTCTAAGCAAGAATTGTGTAATAGAATTAACTCCACACATCTTGAGAAATATAAGGCCCTGTGATGAACAAGTGGTGAGAGTCAATAGAATGTAAGTAATACTTTGTAATACTCAAGTCTTATGTTAAATTACCTCCTCTTCACCCATGGTCATTTCTTGCTCAAAAATGTCACTGTGAGGGATATTCAATCTGTCGATAAAAGATATGCCTGAGATTGGAGATAAAGGCGTTATGGTCAAATCGTCTGTCACCATGAAGTTCGAAGGTCCCCTAATGAATCCCTTGCCAATTATTTTTTCCCCTTTGTGGGAAGACAAGGAAGAGCAAACCAAAAGGGATTTAGCAGTAGACAAAGATGGATATGAAGCTTCCTTGATGGGAATGAGCTGCTTATCCAAAACAAGACCAGGGGGCAGCTTTGGATTGACCAATTTGGCCTTCATGTCCTCAGATTTTAAGAATCTCTCACAATCAAGATCTTGGATGCTCTTGTACAGATTACCCAAGCATCCCCTCAAGGACAAGCATGAAAATTTTTCAAAGACATAACCAAGTGGAAATGTTAGGAAACTGCCAATAAGATCAACAAAATCCTCTTTTGCTTCTACAAACAATGCCCTGTTATTAGATTTGTGGACGATGAGCTTAAAAGTTATATTTGTTTCATTTTTTGTTGCGTCAACAGCCCTTTGAGATTGATTCATGCTTCGTGGACCATATCTTTTGTCGAAACTGCCAAAATTTCTTCTGTCAACGTCTGGTTCCAGGATGGTCTCCGAGAAGGGTGCCCTTGATGTTAATGATCGCATGAGCAATTTCACTACCTGAGAAAAAGAGAGACGGATTGACCATTCATTTCGTTCATGAAAACACTTAAAAAGTAAAACTAAATTTGCTAATTACCTTATCCCTTCCTATGCTTATAGCCCTTTCTTCTCTTGTGCTTCTATCAGTAGCTCCTAACTTACTAAGCAGGGTCAAGCCTGTCATAGTAGACATGGGCTTTACATGAAAGTCATCAGTTATCAAAAACCTCGCGGTAGGTTTCACAAACACCCCTCCACCTTGAGGTAGAGACACGGGCGGAACCAGAGACCGGGGCAGAACCAGATGGGGCTGCCTTGCGGTACGTCTCACAAACCCAAAATCCCCGTCATCTGACAGGGACCCAGACCCAGAATCCCTGTCAACTGAGAGGATCGGGTCCATAAAACTATTTTTAGTCTACACCAAAAAAAAAAAAAAAATTAAGCCAAAATAATATATTACTATTCATTATATTCATACAAAAATATTTGTAGGCAAACTTTTGTCAACTTGTTTAAAAATAAAATCTAGTTATTTAAAGAAGATTTTTACATTTGGGACAAATAAGATTTAAGCCAAAATTTTAAAACATTCAATTAAAAAAATTACACTTTAATTTATACATAAATGGGTAAAGTGCAAAAAAAAACCCCTTGAACCATGTTTGAATTTGCAAATAACCCCTTTGAACTATATTTTGTGCATAAAAACCCCTAAACTATCTCATTTTGTTGCAACATATCCCCAAAGCCTATACTATATTTCATGAAAGGACCATAATGCCCATTCTTATTGAATTACATTTAATATATTTTTCTTATCTAAATAAATTATGAAAAAAATTATACTAATTTTATGAGATATTTTCTATTAAATTTGCATAAATTTACCTTTAATTTTTTTAATTAATTATTTAAATAAAATAATTTAGTATAATTTTTTTAAAAAAATTAATTAATTGTTAATTTTTAATGAGTATATTACATGAAAAGAATGTATTTTTCTCAAAAGTATTTTATTAATTTTTCATCAATATATTGTATGAAAAAAATGATATTTTTTACGATAAAAATGTTTAAATTGGTTATAATACATTTTATTATAAATAATAAAGTTTTAATAATAAGTTAATCAATTTAGAAAACGGTAGTTACAAATCTATCTTTCTATTTTTTTCATTTTTATGATAAATTGATACTAAAAATAAAATTAATGTAAATAGTATAATTAATATTTAAATAAGAGAAAAGATAATAAAAATAATTTAATAAGAAATGAAAATTTTAATGAGAAAAGGTAAAATAGTCTTTTGTGATGGATTTGTCGTTAATTGCAACAAATCAATAATTCAGGGGGCTGTTTTTAGTTCAAGGGAGTTATTTACAAAAAGGTAATAGTTTAAGGGGTTTTTTTGCACTTAACCCTAAATAAATAAATAAAAATTATGTAATAATAGCACACATTAAAAAAAAAAAAAATTAGCACAATCGTCCAAAAAAAAAAAAATTATATGTGTGAAATTTTTGAAAATTGATTACCTCTTCCGCTATTGGGTCCTTGAACGAGAACAATTTGATTTTTATTTTTTTGGAAAATAATATTGCACTTTGAGTGATTGAAAAACGAAAAGAACCACCATACCTCAATCCGGTGAGATTTTTGAGATGCGGTGCGTTCAAAATCATTGATCTAGAACAAAAAAATCAAAATGTAAAGTGATCTAGAAACAGAAAAATCAAAATGTAAAGTGGGAGAATTTTGAATCTGAAAACAGAACCGATGTCTGGTTTGATGAAAATAATATTAAACTTTGATTGGTTGAGATGCAATGCTCAAAAATAAAAATCATACAATCTAAAAACAGAAAAAACATAGTGGAGAGTGAGAGAAGAGAGAATGGGATTGACATTGTTACTGGTGGAAAGATTTTTTTTTTTTTTGATAACGTGGGAACCCTCGCAATTTGTAATGTTAATGAATATATATATATATATATATATATATATATATATATATATATATATATATATAATTATTAAGTAATATATTTTATCATTGTGGGACCCACCACCACTTCGCCTTATGTAATGACTTGAGGGTCATTAGCAAACCCTTGTTTCCTTCCTCTCTGTTACGTCTCTCTCTGTCCCGCTTGCTTCTCTTTTCTTTTTATTTCTTCTACACAACTTAAGCTTGATTAATCTTCAACCACTTAGAATTTTTGGATGCCGTTTGCGGCAAATCGGAGAGCACTGTGAGATTTACGCGTGGGTGTAAACAATTCCTTGTTTGGCCAACTCTAGGGATTTCGAAATTAAGGCACAAAATTTGGGGGTCTTTATAATTTTGGAGGTAGGGATTCCTAATTCATACATTCTTACACCTTTATGAATTATTCTTCTTGTTTGATGTCTAGCATGCTATCCTTTAAAATGACTTAGTTGTTGTATCATGAAATATATGATTATATGTATGTGTTTATGTGGTATGAGAAAGCATGCTTAAATGACTTTATTTCATACCTATTGTAATATATGTGTTGAAATTTGTAACTTAGAAGCATGATGTTAAATTTTAGAGATTTTTATAAAGCATGGATATTGTGAATGTTGATTTGCAAAGAATGAAATTCTGTATTGTCATGACATTGTGAAATAATAAGCATCCATGCACATCATTGGGAAAGAGATGGGAACATGAATTTGAATATATGTATATATATATATATATATATATATATATATATATATATATATTGGGAAAGAATTTTGTGAAAAACCCGGCTGCCTAGGAGTTGCCTAAGGACCGCGGCGTTAGTGAGGCCTAGAGGGGATTAAGGAGATCGCCCTAGTGTGGTTGAGTTACCTGGGCCCCAAATGACACCATGGAGTTGCCATCGGTCAGGGACAATGGCCAATCCTTCTCACGTGCCGCCATGGAGTTGCCATGAGACAGGTTCACTAACGGTTTGAAAATGATGATGGAAATGGTTTTGGAAAATAGGGAGTGACATTACATGGCATGGCGTATCATTACATGTCATATTCATTTGTGGTATCGGATTAATGATATGGTATTGTGGTTATGTTTTTTTCATGGCATGGTATGATCCCAATTTTCTTATTCCTATTCATTGTGTGGATTCACGGGGTCTCAAGAGGTGTGCCTTAGGCACCTCCTACTGAGTTTATGCTCATCCTTTCATTTTAACATTTTTCAGCAAACGGGAACGAAGTGGCAGATGACGTTCCACCACAGGTCTAGTAGGGATTAGATGATCATTTTGTTATTTTTGTTTCTACGTCCCACTATTTTTGTAAAACTTATCGTATTGTATTCTGTACTGAGACTTATGGACTCTTGTTATTGTAGTTATATTCATGAGTTGTAATTTTAATATAAGTTGTTTATACATTACAAGACATGGACTTTTGATATTAGCAATGTTTTTTTTTTTTTTTTTTTTTTTTTTTTTTTTTTTTTTTGGGACTGTAATAATGATATTTGGATGTAATGACACGTGGTTGTTGCACCATAAAATGAACTATGTTGAGACATAATGAATAGATGAAAGAAATGTTGAAATGTATTATTTGCATTGTGTTGGGACAGGTTAGATAAAATTTGAAGGTCCAAGAGAGGCCATTGCATTTTTATGTATTTAAGTAGGTTGTCGTAGGACCCTTTTTAGCAGAGGTCATGCCAAATTTTTTTTTTTTATTTAATATCATTTAAGGGTCATTACACAATTACTGTAATGTTACCGATTTTCCCTATTTTCTAATTTCGGGAATTTAATTGATTTTCTGGATTATTTTAATCATTTTCTCATTTTACGTGCCCGCTGGCCCCAAAGGGCATTTTGGTCATTTTAAGTGAGAAGCATTGTAGTCATTTCACATGTGTGTGTGTATTTGTATTCATGTATGTATGTTGTATTAGTGGTACTAAGTGGAGGGTGATATTTTATAGCATTGTTGAGGTTGTAAAGAAGTTTAGGGGGCATCTTCGTCATTTTAGTCTCATGGACCAACCTAGAACATTCTAAAGACCAAAGGGGTGCTTGATTTTAGCCCATTCTTCTTTTCCTTTCATTTCGGTAGACATGTTCTTCCTCTCTCTATATTGCTCTCTTCCTTCTCTCTAGAATTTCTTCATGCTAAAAGAAGATTTGGTTTAAGCCAAAGTTAGCAAATTGTAGATCATTGCAAGGGCTACGTTTTGGTGCGGGTATTGGAAGCTTTTAGTGGGATGTGAGTTCGGAGCTTGGAGCTTGGGTTGCTATCTATCTTAAGGTATGGGAAGTCTAAACTACGAATTCCTATTGTTTTAGTGAGTTTCCTATGTGTTCACTACATGTAAATCTTGTTGGTGTGAACATGTTTAGTTCTGTCTAATAGAGTTGTGAAGCATGATTTGTTCTTGATCTACATGATTGGTGATGAAATGGTTTGAGAATTTGTGAAAATTCAAGTATGATGTTGTGGCTGGTATTCCCATGATCCCTTTTCCTGATCTCCTCTTCTTTGGTTGTTCCTCACAGGATTTTTAGAAATGTATTTTAGGCTTTTTCTACTGAGCTGTTGAGTTCACCCTATTATCATTAACATTTTTTGCAGGAATGAGGAGACAAGTTGGTAATTAATGTGCATCCATGGATATTGACGTAGCTAGGGATTCATTTTTATTTTATTTGTATCAAAGTTATGTAAATTTTGGCCATGGAGGCCTCATCCTTGTATTTAATTCTTTTTTTCAATTGTATAAAATGAGATTATGTAATTATTTTATGATGAATAGGCAAATGGGGTTATGTTTTGATCAATTATTGATGCCTTTCAATTATTGATGTCATGTTTTATAGACGTGAATCTGGGTTTGGTTGCACATCAAGTTGTTTATCAAGTTCGGCTCACTAAGAGTCCAGAGTTCTGGACTATTAGGTTGCATATAGCGGCTATCCAAGGCCTGTCGGCATGCTTATAAGGAGGACCAGCTGACCGACAGAGCTATCCAAGGGTTGAACCTTTCTTTCAGCCGAGGATTGAACCTTGCCTTCAGCCGAGGGCTGAACCCTTCCTTCAGCCGAGGGCTGAACCTTTCAGAACGGCTGAGGGCCGAACCTTTCCTTCGGTCGACCGAACCTTCTAAGGTCAGAACAACCGAACCATGTAGGTCAGAACAACCGACCTTGTATGTCAGACCGACCGACCATGTGCTGAACGATTGTGCTCTGTCATCTGACCCTTCCTCTTTGACCGGTGACCCTCTTTATAAGGTTGTGTCTTAGAGCAATTGGACAATGGATTGATTCGTCTGACAGTCATGGACATAGGAAATGGATGGTCTGACTTAGTTGACCTCGGGTTCGAGTAAGGACCCGGTTAATAGTTCGGACCCCTGGGTTTCGGGTTGTTACAATTACCCGCCATTTAAACTTGTAACTACCAAGTAAACCCCTAAAAGAGATAGGAAGGCTCGAACACTGGCAAATGCAAGCCAATGCCCTCACCTTACCAATTCTGCCACCAAAAAAAAAAAAAACCCACCCAAATTTGAGCCATATTTCAAGGGAAAGAAAAGGCATGGGTGGAGGGCAATGGGTCCATGTTTCCCCATTATGAATATAATAAACAAATAAACAATGGGCCAAAACATTATAAATATAATATAAATAAACAATTAGACCAGGGGACAAAAGAATTGAAAAGGAAAAAGATTTTTTTATTTTAAAATATGTTAAAAGAAGTAAAGATCATATTTTTTTATTTTAAAACATGTTAAAAGAAGTAAAGATCATATGTATATAATAGATTATATATATATAACAAAAAAAATTTGGGGGGCACTTATACTTTTTACCTATGCAGGTTATCCTAATTTTTTTATTTTTTACCTACACTAATAAAAATTTTCAGACTTATAGGCCCTCCAGCCCCCCTTGGCTCCGCCCTGAGTAGGGACATAAGATTACTTACTTTATACGCGTAACAAATGGACTGTCCACAATCACAACGAGCATTGAAGTAAGGACCAAGATAGTGACCGTCTCTGCAGGCATAGTACACATTAGTATCACTATTAACAAAATTAAATTTTAGGTTCCTGCAGTAAATTTCAGCAGCACTTCGAGGACAAAGCAGCAAGTCCTTGCACTTTACACTTTGTAGAAGTTCCTCATCAAGATTCTCAACACTTTCATATAAGTTGTTCAAACAACCAAAGTCCACTTCTAGCGAGTGTTCGTGGCCAAGTCTGATAATGGTTCCAATCGGCATAGTCATGAAGCTGAAGAGAACATCAACAAAATCCTCATTGGACTCGGCAAAAACAACTAGAGTTTTCTCTTTTTCCACCAGCACCTTCAGACTTAGACTTTGTAAAGCTTCGTTCGACATCCTTTCAAGGAAAACGAAAAAGAAAAGAAAAAATTAGAACTTGATTTCCTCTTCCCCTACACCGCCTTTCTAGTGCAGGGAGAAGTGTTAAGAAATCGTTCAATCAAATCAATTCCTAGACTGTCACTGTAAGCTTAACTCAATCAAGTAACTGTTAAAGCATGAAATGCTTAGAATCATACCCGTTCTGAATAATCAAACATTGACTGAACCATAAACATGTTCTATAATCTCACAGCTTACAAAGCTGGCAAGGGAAAACAAGAGACTGAAACCGTTATGGTATGCTGTGACTTGGGTGAAATTAGTAACATTAGTGAAAATGAAAATTGACACATATGGTATGCTGTGATACTGCCAATACAGTATGAACCATTTATCCAAACAGAGACCCAAAAAAGATGAAGTCAGCATTAGAAGGAGATGCCATTATCCATTAAATCCCCTGCCAATGATATATACAATAATTAAATAAATAAAAATAAATATCTGTACTCCACAAATTGCAATCAAGGGCTTCACCTATGTTCGTCTTCTCTACAGTCATGTTAGAAATCAAGAACAAAATTTATCAGAACTGATTGCCTGTGATCAAATTTCCAGTTACTGGAATAGTGCCAATTACATTATCATGTAATTCAAAAAGACCCTAATAGGTATGAGAAAATATTAGTAGTTTAAATTACAAAAGAGCAGTAGAATTTGCTTCCTGAGCTAGTCAAGGCCCATCTTGTGTGAGGAAAATATGGTTTAGGTCCTTTAGGAAAACAAAAAAATTGCAAGCAGAAAATTTATCATGTAGCAACAATTTCACCTACTAGCATGCTCTTTAGTGTATATGTGTGACAACCCGATTTTTTTTTTTTTAGATTTTAATTCATTTCATTATATTTTTGGTTGCCATAATTAATTATTTAATTGTGGTTGCAGATTTTACCCACTTGTGATGTTTAATGGGATAATTTCGTGTTTGTTATATATATACATATAAAGTTTGTGTGCTAAAGGTGGTCAGCCGAAATGAACAAGGAAAAAGGAGATGCCAGATTTGGGTGTTGTTACATGTTATATTGTGTGTGTGTGTCTATATATATATATATATATATATGTAATGTGAGAAAGAGATAAGAGTAAGATGAAGCTGCAGCCAACGAAATTAAATTGAAAGGATTGAATTGTTGATGGTAATGGTGGGGCCCGCGAGGAAAAGAAAATGGGAAAAGAGAAGGGACAATACGTGCATCCAACCCAGGTTGGATGAAGTTTGTCCAACCTGGGTACGTGGTCCAATCAGGACATGACAAGTGTCCATAAGCACTGTTGAACTTAAGTTGGGTATTATCCAACTTAAATGGGTTTGACTCGGCAAAACACATTTTATTTTTATTTTTATTTTTATTTTTATTTTTCTGCTTTGCTTTCAAAAGATCGCTCCCTTAGCTCTCTCTCCTAAAATCTGCAGCGATTGCCCATCAATCTCACCACTGCTCACCCACCAAACACAACCATCAATTCCAAACACAGTAGCCATCACCAATTAGTCCAATACATACCCAAATAGCAATCCCCAATCTAAAGAGAGACGTATTTGCAGGCCACTATCGCCACCATCTCCGTCAGACTGAACTTCGAGCACAGACTACCATCGCCGGAATGAACTTTTCCGACCACTCGCCATCACGTGCTCATGCGAGTAGATCTAACGTTTTTACATGCGTACATGCGCCTCTTCCTCTTTGACGATTGCAATACAAGCACAGATCCAAACCCTTCACAAATTACTTCTATCCAATCCACTGGCTGCAAATCCTCCATTCTCTCCAACGCCGTGAAGATACCGTCCGCCTACCGCTCGTACATAGTCTGCACACTCGTGAAGAAGATCTCAACCGTCAAGGTGGAGGACTGGGATGGTTGGATGAGGAATTAGGACGGCGTGGTGGAGATCGAGGAAGATGTTTGTAGAGAGAGAAAGGATAGAATCTCACATAAATGGGTTTTACCCGAAAATAGATGGGCATTGCCCAATTTAATTTAATATTTATTATAGACACATGTTGACATTCTATTAGACCACGTACCCAGGTTGGACAAACTTCATCCAACCTGGGTTGGATGCAAATATTGTCCAAAGAGAAATGGAGAAATGGAGAATTGGTGGGTAGTGGGTCCCAGTGGTGACGTTTTAATGGGATTTGGTTTAGTTTTTGTTTAGTCACAATGTGTGTATATATATATATATGTATCTTTGTGGTCTGACGGAAAGGGACCAGCCGAAGTAGGAAGAGAAGTGGGAAAAGGAAATTGATAATGATATTTGTGGGGCCCACGTTGACTAAACCTTGTGCATATAACCTCATATAGTTGAATTCATAGTCATTCTCTTCTTCTCATTATGGCAGTATGCTCTCTTTCTCTACAGATTCAATCTCTCTCTAAATCTAAGCACTTCTAGCCTTGATTCTTCTATTTTTCTTTGAGATTTTGATCTTGCCATAGAAGGCAAAGTTGACGAGCGTGTTGAGAGCTTTGTGTTGATGGGAGCAAAGCCTTATTTGGGCCACTTTCAGATTTTCAAATTTGGGGTTCTCTTTGGGATTTTCTTCATTTCTTGAGGTAGGTGTTTCTAAGCTACAATTTCTTTACCCTTTGTGAGTTTTCTTCATAGAAATTTATAGAATTGTTCACTAGACTTTGAATATTATTTATGGTTATTTGAAAATATATATAATGAAGCATAATGAGGTGTATTTATGTGTTGTATGTGTTAAGTTGTGTGTCCAATTAAATTGTGATGAAATACAAATGTTTATTTGAATTATCTATATGCTCCATTTACTTATAATGTTATATTTGATGAGAATGAGAACATGACTTGTTATGAAAAATAATAATAATAATAATAATAATACTATTTTTTTAAAATTTGCTAGCATGATGTTAATGAAATAAATATATTTTTATGTTAACATTGGATAACATGTGATATTTCATGCATTATCATTGGTCATGAAATGGGGAAAGTTATTCTATGAAATAATAGAAATGATTTTTGGGGAAAAGGTTTTGAAAGAGGTTTGCGAAAACCCGGTCGCCTAGGAGTTGCCTAAGGACCGTGGTGTTAGTGTGACCTAGAGGGAACTGGGGAGACTTTCCTAGCGTGGTTAAGTTACCTGGACCCAAATGATGCCATGGAGTTGCCATGGGACAGGGACAGTTAGCTAATCATTCTCTCGTGCCGTCATGGAGTTGCCATGGGACGGGTTGCATTAACGGTTGGAAATGATGACTGGTAAAGGTTTTTGAAATGGGGAGTGATGTCGCATACCATTGCATTCCATAGCATGGCATGGTTTGATGAGGATTTGATTCATTGTTGTTGGAATTGATGTTATGTTTTCCCTTCTGACTAAGCTGACCCCTCTTTCTTTTTCCTATGTTTTGTATAAATTCACGGGATCACAAGAGGTGTGTCTTAGGAACCACCTACTGAGCAATTTGCTCACCCCTTATTTTAACATTTTTCAGGATACGAAAAGGAAGTGGCAGACTGTAATACCCCTAATTTTAAAAGGATAGTCCTGGTATTTATTTATGTGTTTAATTGCATTTTATTTTATTTAATTAATTATTTGTTTGTTGGATTGTTTGAATTAATTGTGATTTTATTTAATTGTTATTTAATTGGTTCTGGTTTTGCTTGAATTGATTAATGAGTATTTTATTTTTATTTTAATTCGTTGTTTTAAATTGACTTAATTTAATTTACTTAACTTAATTGGTTTAAATGGGTTTAATTTAATTGTTTAATTAATTTACGGTGTAGTTATTTTTTTTATTTAAATTTAGGGTTTTAGGATTTAACGTTGGCCGACTTATAGTTAGAGTTGGAGTAAGGTTTGGTAATTTGAAGCCTATATATATATAAGCCTACTAGGGTTAGGGTTTTAGAAAAACAAACCATAAGTTACATCTATATCACCAGGGACTACTAAGAAATAGAGAGTGAGAGAGGGGGCGTAGCAAAGCATAGCACGGGAAAATTCAGAGACGTGGAATAAGTGAAAAAGCAAGTCTCTATTCTTCTATTTCCCTTTAATTCGAGTTCTCTGCATGCCTAGTTAGACTCCAGGGATTAATTAAAGGCTAAAAATGGAATAAACAAACATAATATCACGTCTTGTATGCATGTATGAATTATATTACTCTCGTTGAAATAAGTAATTTGCATAAACCTTGATGTTTTCTGTTATCTGTTCTTCTCGGTGTTTATGTTTAAGTTTTGATTAAATTGAGATCATGAATATGTATTGATGACTTGTAATTAATTTGGGTCTAAGAATTAAACCCTGAATTAAGTATTAAAAACAATATACGATTTCATTGAATAAATCTGTTTTGAATCGCTTAAATTTTCTAATTGAGTTTCTGTAGTCGTTGCTTCAAAAGGTTGTGTTCAAGACATGTTATGGTCGAATGTCAGTGGTGTAAGATGTACCTAGGACTGAGTTTGAACCTAGAACAAGGATTTAAAAACATTGCAGAGGTTTTGTTAATCACCGGACTTGGAGAAGACGATGCAGGAATAGATTACGACATCTAAGGAGAGAAGAGCAGTCTCCAAAGAAGGAGGAGCCGCCTCTTCCTACCCTTAGAGCCGGCTCCCTAAGGTGTGGAGCCGGCTTTACCTTGCTAGGAGCCGGCTCCTAAGATATTGGAGTCGGCTCTTCATTTTGCAGGAGCCTGCTCTCACCTAAGGTCTTCCAATTTATTTTTTTGGGCACGATTGGACTGCGTGGGGTGTTTTTGATCAGTTTGAATTGGTTTAAAGGTTGGGGATGACTATTGTAGACCTATAAAATAATGGTGAAACATTAGTTTGTAGTTGGATAAAGGGATGAAGCCATATAAAGTTAAAGAAAAACTTAAGTGTTGCTCACTGTTTTGCAAATTTTGTGCACTGGAACTTAGTAGGATTTTATTATATGATTTAATTGAGTATAAACATATATTCCTCAGTGTTATAGGTATGGTGAATTAAATAAAATCAACTGTACTTAGTATGGATTTAATTGGTACTTTAAATTGTATTAAATTGTATCAATTCATGGTTTTTATTGGGGGATGTAAATGGTTGCATATGTTATAACAATTTACAATATTTGATATGATTTTTAGGCTCTGTGTTGAATGCCTAATAATTATGTATATGGAATAATTTAATCTTATATTGGATGCATAAATTGTCATACACATGTTAGATGATATTTATGTTAATTCTGGAATATGATTAATGAGTATTTATTACTGTGTTGTTAACTATGTTAACTGGAGGATTGTATGCACCGGTATGGGACGGTGACATACTAGGTATGGACTAGTTTAAGCACTTAGTCTTACCTAATTTGGATTGAGGTATGGATTAATCAGAAAGGTTAAGTCCATCTCCTATTTGTGTCATGTCAATAAAATTAATTGAATGACCTACTGTGGTTTCAGGATGGATTTGTTATACATATATCATACCACTATACAGATGGATGATATTTTGTATTAGAAGTACGGACTTTAAATATTTATTATATGGTGCCGCGGTATGAGCTTGAGACTCAGGACCATGGTTAGGGTGCGTATATCGCCTAGGATGGATAACTGGACATAGGTGTTGTTCCCTGGTAGGTGTAGGTACACATGACCACTTTATGTGCGATTTGCATGGTATCTCTACTCAGACTGAGACAGACCTACTAGACTAGCGAGCGTCCTATAATGTGTACTATATATATACATATGGACTACTCTAGATATTGTTAGGCTCTCTAGGATGTATCTGCGTATCGGATTACTGTATGGATTGTAGTAGAATAGGACTTGCATGTGGGTCTGACCCACTCTTTTATTTTCAGGTGTTCGTCAGTTCCAAGGTTAGAGTTTGGATGTGCAGTGCAGTGCAGATACAGACATTCATTCCTCCGACTACGTAGGAATCCTTTCTATGTTTAGCTTTAGATTCTATTTCTGATGTTTTAATTTCTGTTGGGACTTTTAATAAGGGGTCCACTGGATGGATTCCCGAGTTGTTAAACTTATGGAGTTTTGGAGTATTGGATTTTAATAATTTTATTTTGAGGATTTTAAATTAGCATTCCTTCAGCTTATTACTTTAATTTCTTATTTCATTTTGTATTATGTGTTCGGTTACATATTGATTGTTTGATATTCCCTTAGGTTTGGGCCTGGGCCTGATCAACCCGTGTCTCGGATCCGAGGGGTATCACACAGACGATGCTCTTCCACAGGTTTTGATGGGTTAGTGGACTGTTTTGACATATTTTGTAGTTACGATCTCATTTTATTATTATGTGCTGACATAGGAAATGACGGTAGCGTCTTTGGTTGACCTCGGGTTCGGGTAAGGACCCGGTTAGCGATTCGGACCCTCGGGTTCGGGTCGTTACAAATTTGGTATCAGAGCGTTAGGTTCGAATACTTTTCGAATGACGTGCAGTGGTTTGCTTAGAGGGGTAGAAGGTTAACCTGTGTTGATTACGTGTTTGTGTTTATGTACTTACTGTTTTATGAAACATCTTTACCTGCTACCTGTTTATATGTTTACAGTTTTGAAGGCATGCCTATTTGCTAAGTGTTTACGTGTTTAAATGCTAAAATATGTGTTACATGGGCCATGCATGTGAAGTAGTTGTATGATTCAATTATGTGAAATGTGAAAGTAATTGAAAGCATGTTATACATGATAAGGTGGAAAGTATGTGATACATGACGGTGGCAAACAGTAGACACAGTTGGTGCAATTTTCTTTTATGATAATGTGACATATAATGAGCATAGTATATGAAAGTATGTTTCGTATAGTATTGTGGGTTTCGTTCATCTTGTATATGTAAATATCTATATTCTTATGTGTTTATACGGTCCAGCATGGGATGGTTGCTAGTACGGTAGAGTACTTGTCACAGTGTAGATGGTTGTGTAAGTTTTTGACCTGAGAAGGCGAAGAGCTCAGTTGCTCCAGGGTTGTCAAGTGCCGGTTTTTATCGAACGAGTGGCTTGGACTTCTAGCTCGTGGATTGAGCTATTCAATGTATAGTCATCCTGATCTTCTTGTTGCGTTTGGTAAGGTGCTTAGAGCACGACTATAGAACGGGTTCATATTACATGGCATGGTATCCTTATTATGTGTGAGTTTCATACATCGGTGGATGGGTTCATGTGACCGTGGAGGCCGGGTGTGCGAGTGAGGGTTTCGAGGGAGAAAATGTATGACTTTGGGAGGTTAGTGTTTGTAACTTTACTTACGGTTTGGTGCGGAGGTTCTTTTCGAACCGGTCGTCGTAGGTGTGACAGAGGTTGTTTGAGTCACGAATGTAGTCTTTGAGTTGTAGATGTGTATTGCGGGTATTTTGGTACGGTCTAAGGAAGTGTATTGGTTACGGTTGGTTGAAAGGTGACTCCCATTTCGGGAAACTACAGGAGTGTGCTACGAGTAATTGACTCTCGGTGAGTTGATTGCATGACTTGGTGGATAAGCGGGGTTATAGGTTGTCACAGTTGTCGAGAGAGTCTCGAGGTGAGGTATAGTGGTCAGTTTTAGCTGTATAGTACGGAGTTGCAGGACAAGGCAGGTAGTATGGGGTCATTGGAGTACTAGGTCATTCGTGAATGAAGTGAAAGAGGATAGGTACTGTGTATCTAATGGATTGTGTTTTGCAATTGAAAGCTGCGGACTAGAGTTGAATTTTATGTTGCATCTGGGGTACGAGGAGGTAGTGTTGGTTGTTTGAGGATCCGAAGAGATAGACTGATGATCAGAATGATTGGGATGAGGGTGATTTCATAGGTTTAGTTGGTAGCCTTATTTGACTTTTGTCGGGGCCAAGGGTGTTCTGAGGAACGGAACGGAGGAAAGATAATGACGTTGAACCTAAAGTATGAAGTTTTCTTGTTTAGACATGTAGATTGTCTGAGGAGGAGTGGTTTGAGTGGCCAGTTAAGCGTTGGTGATTGATTGCATTGTAGATGGTTTTGAGGAGACGGTTGTTTATGCTCATTTATGTTTTGAGGATTTGTCGACATGGCATTGCCGTATGGAGGTTCTTTTCTAGTGGTAAATAGTGGCCGTTGTGGGGGAATATCAAGAATGATGCTTATTATCTTGTTATGATGGTATTATCTTAAGGATGTTGGAAGAAGAATTGCTTAGTAGTGGCTTGATGGTTCGGTGGGATGGTAGGTTTAAACTGTTGTTTAGAATGAGTGGCAGTAAAGGTGTTATGGTATGATGATTTGTGCTGGTGAGCGGAACAACTTAAGGTATGATCCGAATGTGGTTTTGGGATTATGAGTTGTTTGTTGTGTGTTGTCAGTTATGTGATGGGATTGTACGCCAGTTGAGGGGATTGTGAACAACTTAGTCTTTAGAGCCAGTGAGAGCGATGTTGCCATATAGGTATCATTTTCTTTTGAAGAATCAGTGGGTTATTGTGACTGAGGTCATGGGTCTTGTGTGCACGGTGATCGAGGTAGTGTCACCTGGGAAGGTAGAGATGGAATGGGTAGTAATGTGTTATTTTATGGCTTAGAGGTTGTCATTTGGGAGTGACGGTTTCCAGATAGAACGGGATGCAGTGTCCGATTGGTTGTGATCGTTTCTAGTGTCAGTGTGTCGTGAGCGTTGGTGCTCTTATCTGAGTGGTTTTGGTTAACATGGGTGTTGCGGAGTATCATATGCGAGGTTTCTATGTTGATAGTGTATGACGGTCCGTTTGAGGCGAAGTCACCTAGAATTGAGTTCGTAGTTCCGTATGGGTATCCAGTTAGTTCTTCTCCTTGTATATAAGGAGTTTAGTTCATCTCAGATGAGATTGGGTATCCGTGGTTGGATGATTGGTGAGCAAAATGTGACAAGATGTCAAGTGCATTCGGGTTGGAGTTGTCAGTCTTTGGTGAGTACAGGGTTCATTACTTTTCTGTTTATTCTAGTCCTAGCAGGGACGTCGATTGTCGCAAGTCTTGTTCTCTATTTAAGAGTTGTGCGCATCCGTAGGTAGACGGGCCTGTGTGTGGTTTGTTATGTTATTAGAGTTTATCGGTAAAGGTTTTGTTGATTTAGTCGACTCACTCCCACGGAGGGAGATAAAGTCATTGGTTTTAGGTGGTACTTGTTTTGAGAGTGGTTTTGATGGCACGAGTTTCCGAATAGGGGTTGCATTTCTGGTGTCTGGTACTATTGGTGATGGCTAGTGGTGTGTCGTGAATTATAAGCTTGAGGATGGTTAGGTAATGTGATGTGAGTCATGTACTCGGATGTTCTTATTGATGTCTGATTTGAGCAGTGTTTTGAGGACAAGTGTTGGTATTGTTGAGTGTCAAGCAGCTAGAGAGTGATTATGGGACTCCGTTGAAGAATAATAAGGATAATTGACTTTCGTTTTGAGGTTTTAGGCATGAGATGGTCATATTGTGTGTTTTGAAGAGGTGAGAATTGAATCGAGTAATATCATGGAGTTGTTTACCTGGTATGGGTGTTATGAGGAGATTAGAGATCTTTTATGCTAGTTAATGATTATAACGTTCAGTGCCGTGTTGTTCTTAGCTTGTTACGAGTTGTATGATTGAGGCATGATTGGGACTTTTAGAGTAGGTATGTGACTGTATAGTTGTTAAGGACTTTGTAGAGTGATGGATTAATATTGAATAAATCTCATGGTTGTTAGGTGGACTGTGTGAGATTGTATTTGAGGTTTGGACCTGAGGACAGGAACGACATCTGTGTTAAGACCGGATCGAGGATGAGAATGGCATGGCCAACTATTTCTCCTGAATCAGTTCCTCTTTAGCACGATGTCGGGTCAAAGGTTATTAATTGTTTCGACTGGTCGTGGACAGTAAGAGTATGGTACTATGCATCGTGTTGGTGTGACAGTGTGGACTCCGATGATTTATCCCGGGTGACGAGGTGTGTTAGGTAGGATCAAGTATCTGATAAAGGGTTGTGGTACAACCATTGACTATTGAAGATCTTGTTTTGAGGATTTAGGTCCTGGGTACAGGACAATACGTTTTATTGTTCTGGTGACTCATGATTATGTAGTCGTTGTGAGATTTGTTGTTTAGCCATCTTGTAATTGTTTAGTATGATGATTATAGTATAGTACGGTTGGTAGTCACTGGTATGGTTATGCGATGGAGTAGCTATGCGGTATATAGCGAGTGCTTGGTCTGACAGGGATGTGTAGATTTGAGTTTGAGCTTGATTGTGCAACTGACGGTATTTCTTGTCTGGGGTTTTGTGTATCCTTTAAGGGATAAGTTGAGACTGGATGTTTCGGGTATGCAGAAACTGTTAGATCTGAATTTCGAGACGAAATTCTTTTTAAGTGGTGGAGAATGTAACAACCCGATTTTTTTTTTTAAGATTTTAATTCATTTCATTACATTTTTGGCTGCCATAATTAATTATTTAATTGTGGTTGCAGATTTTACCCACTTGTGATGTTTAATGGGATAATTTAGTTTTTGTTATATATATACATATAAAGTTTATGTGCTAAAGGTGGTCAGCCGAAATGAACAAGGAAAAAGGAGATGCCAAATTTGGGTGTTGTTACATGTTATATTGTGTGTGTGTGTGTATATATATATATATATATATATATATAATGTGAGAAAGAGATAAGAGTAAGATGGAGCTGCAGCCAACGAAATTAAATTGAAAGGATTGAATTGTTGATGGTAATGGTGGGGCCCGTGAGGAAAAAAGAAATGGAGAATTGGTGGGTGGCGGGTCCCAGTGGTGATGTTTTAATGGGATTTGGTTTAGTTTTTGTTTAGTCACAATATATATGTGTGTGTGTGGTGTGTGTGTGTGTGTGTATCTTTGTGGTCTGACGGAAAGGGACCAGCTGAAGTAGGAAGAGAAGTGAGAAAAGGAAATTGATAATGATATTTGTGGGGCCCAGATTGACTAAACCTTGTGCATATAACCTCATATAGCTGAATTCATAGTCCTTCTCTTCTTCTCATTACGGCAGTATGCTCTCTCTCTCTGTACAGATTCATTCTCTCTCTAAATCTAAGCACTTCTAGCCTTGATTCTTCTATTTTTCTTTGAGATTTTGATCTTGCTATAGAAGGCAAAGCTGACGAGCGTGTTGAGGGCTTCATGTTGATGGGAGCAAAGCCTCATTTGGGCCACTTTCGGATTTTTGAATTTGGGGTTCTCTTTGGGATTTTCCTCATTTCTTGAGGTAGGGGTTTCTAAGCTACAATTTCTTTGCCCTTTGTGAGTTTTCTTTATAGAAATTTATAGAATTGTTCACTAGACTTTGAATATTATTTATGGTTATTTGAAAATATATATAATGAAGCATGATAAGGTGTTTTAAATGTGTTGTATGTGTTGCGTTGTGTGTCCAATTAAATTGTGATAAAATACAAATGTTTATTTGAATTATCTATATACTCCATTTACTTATAATGTTATATTTGATAAGAATGAGAACATGACTTGTTATGGAAAAAAATAATAATAATAATAATAACAATTATATTTATTTTAAATTTGCTAGCATGATGTTAATGAAATGAATATATTTTTATGTTGACATTGGATAACATGTGACATTTCATGCCTTATCATTGGGCATGAAATGGGGAAAGTTGTTTTATGAAACAATAGAAATGATTTTTGGGAAAAAGGTTTTGAAAGAGGTTTGCGAAAACTCGGTCGCCTAGGAGTTGCCTAGGGACCTTGGCGTTAGTGTAACCTAGAGGAAACTAAGGAGACTTTCCTAACGTGGTTGAGTTACCTAAACCCCAAATGACGCCATGGAGTTGCCATGGGTCAGGGACAGTTAACTAATCCTTCTCTCGTACCTCCATGGAGTTGCTATGGGACGAGTTGCATTAACGGTTGGAAATGATGATGGATAAAGGTTTTTGAAATGGGAAGCAATATTGCATACCATTGCATTCCATAGCATGGCATGGTTTGATGAGGATTTGATTCATTGTTGTTGGAATTGATGCTATGTTTTCCCTTCTGACTAAGCATGACCCCTCTTTCCTTTTCCTATGCTTTGTATGGATTCATGGGTTCACAAGAGGTGTGTCTTAGGCACCACCTACTAAGCAATTTGCTCACCCCTTATTTTGACATTTTTTAGGATACGGAAAGGAAGTGGTGGACGACGTTTCTCCACAGGTTTTGATGGGTTAGTGACTGTTTTGACATATTTTGTAGCTATGATCTCATTTTATTATTATTATTATTATTATTATTATTATTATTATTTATAAACCCTGGGATGACACGTATATTATGTATTGACATAAGAAAAGATGGTAGCGTCTTTAGTTGACCTCGGATTCGGGTAAGGACCCAGTTAATGATTCGGACCCTCAAAATCGGGTCATTACAATATGTATAGATGTAAATAACTATACTACCTAAGAATCATATAAGACTAACTACTATTTTTCCAACATATTACATAAGAACCATATAAAGGAGAACCTTTGGATCACATTATCCTCAAAAACTAAACTACCTCAAAATATAGAATACATGAAGACGAAGATGAAGAAGATCAGAGTAATTTGGTGAACAAAATAATTTAAACATTCGAGAATGGAAGGGATGGTACCTGAAGTCACCAAGCAAGACTTGCACTCTGAATATTGATTTGTGGGTTGTTGATGCTTAGAGAAGAAGTGAACTATAGATGATTTATAAATGGGTTTTAAAAGGGAAAGCATTTGCATATATAAAGAAAAAGTAGCAGAAGATGATTGGGTGTTAGGAGGAGTGTGGAAACAATAAAGTTGGATACTTGTTCTTTCTGATTGGGAAAAGGAAAGACAATGAAACATAGTACTGATCTTTTATGGTTAATTAACAAACAAAAAATAATAGTGTTAATCATGTTTGGAAGAAAAAAGAAGAAACTATATATATTTATTTTAATCCTTCATTATAAAGTCTTTACATTTAGAGGATTAAACTGATTTGTGTTTTTGTCCATAAATTTAAGAGAAAAATCAACATCCCTTTGATTTATTCTTTGAGTAACATATGAACTCAAGTTGATTTATTCTTTGAGTAACATATATGACATATATGAACTCCTAACATCCCTTTGATTTATTCTTTGAGTAACAAATGAACTCAAGTTGATTTATTCTTTGTCTCAAAACCTCATTTTCTTTTCATAATCTTCTTTCAACTGAGACTTTACAGTGCCTGTCAAGATCTCTAAAGACAAAAAGACAAAAATACTAAAAGTAATTGACATAACTGACATAAAGGAAAAGTTTGACACCACGTTTTATAGAGATTATTGTCCGATCAAGCATCAACTGTCTGAATTCTCAGCTCATTTTATATGAAAACATCAATCAGAGAAGTTTTTGACACCAAAGCAGCTTCCAATAGACGCAAAGCCTGCAACAAAAAATCCACATATGAATGGATCATTAGCAACTAGAAAATGTAGCAACTACTGTAAAGAAAAACTGATAATCATAGCATACTCACACCCATCCTAACATGTGATTCCGATGGCATTAATAGAGGGTGATGAACCAAGACCTCTCAAAATCAATATAAAAGTCCATATTAGGCACAACCATTTGTTCCAAAATTTTAAGCTCCTAGGAACAACTATGTAATAGAAGTTCTCCACCTATCTTCAGAAATATAATGAATTATCAGTTTAAGGGCACATGATGAATTAGCGGTGAGTCAATAGAATGTAAGCAATAATTATACTCTAAGTCTTGTGTTAATTTACCTCCTTCTCACCCATTGTCACTTCTTGCTCTACAATGTCACCAAGAGGAATATTCAATCTGTCAATAAAAAATATGCTTGAGAATGATGATAAAGGCGTAATGATGAAATCATCTGTCACCATGAACATGGAAGGTCCCCTAATGAATCCCTTGTCAATTATTGTTTCCTCTGGATTGGACTTCAACAGCACACAAGAGACATTACATAGGGAAGAAGTAGTAGAGTAAAATGGATATGCAGCTTCCTCAATGGGAATGAGCTTCTTATCCAAAGCAAGACCACCAGCTTTTGGATTGACCAAAATCGACTTCATCTCCTCAGATTTAAAGAATACCTCAGCATCAAAATCTTGGATGCTCTTGTACAGATTACCCAAGCATCCCCTCAAGGACAAACATGAAAATTTTTCAAAGACATAACCAAGTGGAAATGTTAGGAAACTGCCAATAAGATCAACAAAGTCCTTTTTTGCTTCTATGTACAATGCCCTGTTATTAGATTTGTTGATGACAAGCTTCAAATTTATCTTTGTTTCATTTTTTGTTGCATTCATAGCCCTGCGAGATTGATCCATGCTTGTTGGACCACATTTTTCGTGGCAAATGTTGAAACTGCTTTTGTCAATAGCTGGTTCCAAAATGGTCTCTGAGAATGGCGCCCTTGATGTTAATGATCACATGAGCAATTTCATAACCTGAGGAGATAGAGAGTATTCAATTTTTACATCGAAATGCCTAGAAAGTAAAACTAGTTAATTACCTTATCCCTTCCTATCTTATAGTCCTTTCTTCTCTTATGCTTCTATCTGTAGCTCCAAACTTACTAAGCAGGGTTAAGCTTTTCAGAGTGGATATGGGCTTTACATGAAAGTCATCAGTTATCATGAACCTTGAGGTAGGTTTCACAAAAACCCCTTTATCTTGATGTAAAGAGAATTTCAGCTTCCTAGTACTCACTAGTATCACTATTAACAAAATTCAGTTTTAGGTTCCTGCAGTAAATTTCAGCTGCACTTCGAGGACGAAGCAGCAAGTCCTTGCACTTCACACTTTGTAGATGTTCCTTGTCAAGATTCTCAACACTTTCATATAAGTTGTTCAAACAACCAAAGTCCACTTCTAGTGACTGTTCGTGGGCAAGTCTCAGAATGTTTCCAATAGTCATAGTCATGAAGCTGAAGAGAACGTCAACAAAATCCTTATTGAACTCGGCAAAAACAAATTGATTTTTCTATTTTCCACCATCACCTTCAGAATTAGACTTTGTAATGCTTTGCTTGCCATCATTTGAAGGGGACAAAAAAAATGGACAGTTATTTGGCGGATAGTTATATTGGCAAAATTCAGCTTGTATGTCAATGAATGTAACCTGCATCAAAGTTTCATATAACATTAGAATTTGACCTCTCTTTCCCAACACCCTGCCTTCCTGGTGCAGGTGAAGCGTCAAGAAATCATTCGATGAAAATAATTCCTAGACCGTCTTAACCACGAATGGCGTGGAATTATACCCCCTCTGAATAATCAAACCTCGAGTACTGAACTATAACCATGTTCTATGATCTCACAGCTTACAAAGGTGGTTAGGAAAAACAAGAGACCGAAACTGTATGAACTTTTACTCATAATTGATTACAAAGTATGCACATCAGTCCTGGGATTTTAGACTCAAAATTACACAGAACCTAAAACCATTTTGGCACTGTGAGCTGAAAATTTGACACCTTTGATATGATGCAACACCGCCAATACACATATCCAAGCAAAGGCCCAGAAAAAGAAGTCAGCATTAGAAGGAGATACCATTATCCATTAAATGCCCTGCCAATTGGTGGAGAACAACTTCTCTTCTCCTCCAATTGCAATCATGGGACTCACCTATGTGCCTCTTCTCTACAGTCATGTTGAAAATAAAATAAAAAACAAATACAAAAACAAAAAAAGCCAAAATTAGGTTCTTTTCCTTTCCTTTTCTCTTTACCGTCTATACTTCTCTGTTCCTGACAACTAAGCAGAACCTCGTATAAAGTAAGAAAAATAAGTCAGTATAACTAAATCACCAAGGGACAGGCTGTCTCTCTCTCTCTGAATGAAAATGAGATAGCGAGGTCCTGGATCAGAGATTAAAAATCAAGATCCAGAAGAGTCTTGCCAAAATGGAGAATGAGTATTAAAGGTTCTGGGTAGAAACTTCAAAACAACAAAAAAATAAACATTTCAACAGCACCATGCATACACCACCCATGACTACCACAATTGTGACCAAAACAAAGCAGCATACCTTAATTACAACTGATATTTGAGTCTATAATTGATAACATATACAAACATTCAACAATACAACGAAAGAAATCGACATAAATGCCATGAAAGGAAATGATTGACACCGCGTTCATTGGCTACTGAATTTTCTTAAGAGTTTCTTCTTCATTCATGAATCAATTGTTTGAACTTTCCGCTTAAAATTTGAAGTATGAAAGTGTCAGTAAGAGCAGTTTTAGACACCAAAGCAGCCTCCAATAGACGCAAAGCCTGCAACAGAAATACACATTAATGGATAAATGTAACAACTACTGCAAAACAAAACTGATAGTCAGAGCATACCCAACACCCATCCTAACATGTAATCCCCTATGAACCAACACACCTCAAATTCAAAATTATAGTCCATGTAAGACAACCATTTGTTCCCCAAAAAAAAAAAAAAAAAAAAAAAGGCTCTAAGGAACAAATATGTAATAGAAGTTCTCCACATATCTTCAGAAATATAATGAATTGTCAGTTTAAGGCTTCATGATGAAACTAGTGGTGAGAGTCAATAGAATGTAAGAAATACTCAAGTCTTATGTTAAATTACCTCCTCCTCACCCATGGTCACTTCTTGCTCTAAAATGTGACTCAGAGGGATATTTAATTTGTCAATAAAAGATATGCCTGAGATAGGAGATAAAGGCGTTATGGTCAAATCGTCTGTCACCATGAACAGGGAAGGTCCTTTAATGAACCCTTGACCAATTATGTTTTCCCCTGAAGGGAACGCCGGACCCAAGTAAGAGAGAAGGGAAGAAACAGTAGAGTAAGACGGATATGAAGCTCCCTCGATGGGGATAAGCTGCTTTTGCAAAGCTAAACCACGAGTCAGATCTGGATCGACCAAAATTGCCTTCATTTCCTCAGATTTGAAGAATTCCTCAACATCCAAAGCTTCGATGCTCTTGTACAGATTACCCAAGCATCCCCTCGAGGACAAACATGAAAATTTTTGAAAGAGATAACCAAGTGGAAATGTGAGGAAACTGACAATAAGATCAACAAAATCTTGTCTTGTTTCTACATACAATGCCCTGTTATTTGATTTGTTGATGATAAGCTTCACAGCTATCTTTGTTTCTTTTTTTGTTGCATCTACAGCACTTTGAGATTGATTCATGCTTCTTGGATCATATTTTTCGTGGCAAAAGCCAAAATTCTTTTTGTCAATGGCTGGTTCCAAAATGGTCTCCGAGAACGGTGTCCTTGATGTTAATGAACAGATGAGCAATTTCATTACCTGAGAAAGAGAAAAACGAGTAACCATATATTTTGTTCACGGAAACACTTAAAAGTAAAACTACTTTAACTTGCTAATTACCTTATCCTTTTCTATGTTTATAGTCATTTCTTCTCTTGTGCTTCTATCAGTAGCTCCAAACTTACTAAGCAGGGTCAAGCCTGTCATAGTAGACAAGGGCTTCACAAGCAAGTCATCAGTTATCAAAAATCTTGCAGTAGATTTCACAAACACCCCTCCATCTCGAGGTACACAGAGATGATTATTTAGGCTATATGCGTAACTCATGGAATTTCCACAATAGCAACGAGCATTGAGGTAAGGACCAAAACAGTGATCCTTACTGCAGGCATAGTAATACTTGGTATTACTATTAACAAAATTCAGTTTTAGGTCCGTGCAGTAAATTTCCGCTGCACTTCGAGGATGAAGCAACATGTCCTTGCACTCCATGCTTTGTAGATGTTCCTCATCAATATTCTCCACGCTTTCATATAAGTTGTTCAAACAACCAATGTCCACTTCGAGTGAGTGTTGGCGGGCGAGTGTAATAATGGTTGCTATAGGCATAGTCATGAAGCTAAAGAGAACATCAACAAAATCCTTATTGGACTCGGCAAAAACAACTTGATTTTTCTCCTTTTCCACCAGCACCTTCAGACTTAGACTTTGTGAAGATTCGTTCGCCATCATTTCAAGGAAAACGAAAAGAAAAAAATAAAGTAGACGGCTATGTGGCAGATAGATATATTGGCAAATTCAGCTTATATTTTAATGAATGTAACCTGCATCAAAGTTTCATAAAATGTTAGAATTTGATATCCTCTTCCCCTACACCCTGCCTTTCTAGTGCAGGGGGAAATGTCAAGAAATCATTCAATCAAAATAATTCTTAGACAGTCTTTGTACGCTTAGACTTAATCAAGTAACGCTTAAAGCACGAAAGGCGTAGAATTATACCAGTTATGAATAATCAAACCTTGACTGAACTATAAACATGTTCTATGATCTCACAGCTTACAAAGCTGGTTAGGGAAAACAAGAGACAGAAACGGTTTGGATTCATGACTGATTACAAAGCATGCACATCACTCATGGGGTTAGACTCAAATTACATAGAAACTAAAACCATTTTGGCACTGTGGCTTAGTGAAATTAGTAGCATTAGTGACAATGAAAATTGACACACATGTTATGCAGTTATACTGCCGATACAGTATGAACCATTTATCCAAACAGAGACCCAAAAAGGAAGAGGTCAACATTAGAAGGATATTCCATTATCCATTAAATCCACTGCCAATGACATATACAAAAATTAAATAAATAAAAATAAAATAAAATATCTGTAATCCACAAATTGCAATTAAGGGCTACACCTATGTTCCTCTTCTCTACAGTCATGTTGAAAATCAAAAACAAAATATCCCAGAACTGGTTGCAAGTAATCAAATTTCCCATTACTGGAATAGTGCCAATTACATAATCATGTAATTCAAAAAAAACTCTAATAGGTATGAGAAAATATTAGTAGTTTAAATTACTAAAAAGCAGTAGAATTTGCTTGCTGAGCTAGTCAAGGCCCATATTATGTGAGGAAAATATGGTATAGGTCCTTCAGGAAAACAAACACAAACAGAAAACGAAAAATTGCAAGCAGAAAATTTACCATGTTGCGACAATTTAATTCACCTAATGGTATGCTCTTTATTGTATATGTATACATGTAAATAACTGCACTACCCAAGAATCATATAAGAAGAAGTACTGTTTTTTCAACATATTACATATGAACCCTATAAAGGAAAACCTTCGGATCACATTGTCCTGAAAAACTAAACTACTTCAAATTATATAATACAAGAAGATGAAGATGAAGAAGATCAAAGAAGTAAATTGGCGAACAAACTAATTTAAACACTCAAGAATGAAAGAGATGGTACCTGAACTGACCAAGCAAGACTTACACAGCTCAAATATCTGAATATTGATTTGTGGGTTGTTGATGCTTAGAGAAGAAGTGAACTATAGGTGATTCATATAAATGGGTTTTAAAAGCAAAAGCATATACAGTACATAAATAAAAAAAAGTAGCAGAAGATGATTGGGTGTTTCACGGATAGTGGAAACAATAAAGTTGGATACTTTTCTCTCTCTCTCTCTCTGTGATTGGGGAAAAAAAAAAAAAAGAAAGTAACATAGTACTGATCTTTATGGTTAATTAAGAAGAAGAAAGTAATAGTGTTAATCATGTTTAGAAGGAAAAAAAAAAAAAAAAAAATTAACTATCTTATTTTAATTTTTCCTTATAACGTTTTAAGATTTAAAGGATTAAACTGTATTGTGTTTTTGTCAATAAATTTAAGGGAAAATCAACAGTGTGAATATTTCATTACTCATAATATGTTTTTTCTTTCATTTTAGATTATTGGACCCTCATTTTTCTTCCATTTTCTTTTATTTCCTTCCTTAATTCCACTAACCCCTCCTTTTCCCCAAACTTCCTTTTATTACAGACATAATTTCATTATAAAAACAAAATAAAATTTCTTTCCTTTTCCTTTTATTTTATTTTTTTCATTTCTACCATGCATTCTGGCCCTAAATATCTATTTTCAATAAAAATATTTCAAGCTTACTGTTATGTATGTGTGTGTCTTGTGTGGGGTCCACATGAGTGGAAAATTGTGGCATATTGAGAATGGCAGCAAGCTTGTCGGAGAAGCTGCTTGATGCCCACGATTTGTAAAAAACAAAACTGAAAAGCTTTTCTCTCTCTCTCTCTCTCTCTCTCTCTCTCAAACTTTGTTGTCCTAATTTCTCTTATACTGTTACTCTCCCTCTATATATATATATATATATATATACACACACACATACTGTAACACCCCCTAATTTTGGAACACGGATTGATCAAGTCCGCGCACAAAATCAAGGGATATCAAAACAATTTAAGTATTTAACAAGTACAGAATACAAAGATGAATAATAAAGAATAAATAAACCGCTGAAGAAAACTAATAAATAAATATTACTTAATGATTCTCCAACAATTACAATTCGGAAATCCCATAACTCAAGGACCCCTTAAAACATTATCCAATAATCAAATACTATTTAAAAGTACACAAGATGAATAGACGAATGACAGTCTCCCAGCTGCGGATCCTCAACCTCGAGACTGGAACCTCTAATAACCTGAAAAATAAATCGTGGGTTAAACCCTACGAGCAAGTTCACTCTACCAGGCCTCTGAAAACCAATAAGCAGATCATCTCTGATCAAAACCAAACCTAATAAAGTTTTAACTTTAATAAAGCACGATATACATGTCTATATATAATTATATATACTATACTAATCACATCCATTAATAGGTTTATTAAATTTCCATACCTATTAAATAATTATTAAAATAATATTCATACCTAGACCAATCTACCATTTCATTTTATAAAAACTCCTTTGACCTTAATCCCATCCTAGTCAGTTGTCTAATCATTTAAACAACAAATTATAATAAAAGAAATACTCTATTTAATCCCAACCCGATAATGATTTTAATTGTTTAAATCACATATCCAAAATCCAAGTATTGACAAATCATCCACGTCTTCCCCAATATTATTTTATTAATGTAAAATAATACACTAACCAGTAAGTACTAAACTATTCTCATTTAAGAATATCTAACCTTAATCCAATCCATACATACAACAACCATAGATGATATTTTAATCATCTAACACATAACAACGTAATTATGCTTTGGCAAATCAACCATGCCATTGTAAATATTTTTATTTATATATTGGCAATTCACCCATGCCTCCATAAGTATATTTATTTATACATTGGCAATTCAACCATGCCTCCGTGTATGTATATTTATACATTGGCAATTCAACCATGCCTCCACAGATATATTTATTCATACATTTAATTAGCAATTCATCCATACTTTCCATATATGTATTCTATTCATACAAATATTTAGGTAATATATTTAATCATTTGACAATTCATCCATGCCCACACTTTAACCATGAATTAACTTTAAAATTAACAATATGCTAAATCATACATAGCCATCACATGCATATTATACGCATATCATTAATTTAACAACCAGCCTATTAAGATATGCCAAATAAGAATGATAATATTAATCATCTTAAATGATTTATATATATATATATACCTACACATATGTTATTTAATGTATATGTGTGTTTAACACCTTCTTTAATAATCCTTGATTATTTAAAATCAATATACATACATACATACATATATATATATATATATATATATATATATATATATATATTCATCCTTCCATACAACTCATAGACAAATTAAACTATATATACACATATATAAATAATCCTTCCATACAACTCATAGACAAATTAAACTATATATACACATATATAAATAATTATATATATATATATATATATATATATATATATATATATATATATATACACACTTCCTTCCATAACAAATTATTAATTTATTATATTTACACAAATTAGTGCAACTAAATATGTCAGAAATAGTTTCCTTTAAATACTCCATATTGGTTTAAATAGTTTTCCGACACTTTCTCACTAAAATATAAATATCTCCTAGTAGGATGGGAATCTGATAATGAAATTGGTACCATTGGAAAGAAGACGAAAAATCCTTGAATTTGAGCTCAAGAATGACCCAATTTCGATTTAAAATGACTAAGTTATGACCTTTTTAATTTCTAGTGTCGAATTAGGCCAACATAGTTACCCACGCGCGCCCACGTGCTTACTATGCACTTGCACGCGCTGGATTCAAGCCTCCTTGTGTGCTGGTATTGGCTAAGCTCTTTCAGCTACCGTGAGCTCACCACACTGAATCCATCACTTCCTTTATGCCGCATCCAATGGTCATAAATGAGTGCGCAAATGAACACGCTCACACTAGATTATTTTCTATTAACTATAATAGATCTAAGGTCCAGATCAGCGAGTGCACCATCTTCTCATGGTCTGCAATACACCAAATAATCCCATAGTTGACCAGACCACTTCTATGGTCCAGATACACATGCGCACCAAAGTTTTATGCGCCGCGATGCACCATATCAATTCACATAAGTTTAATTAATCAAATGGCCCTAATTGGCGTATACACCCTATTATCCTACACCGCGCCGCACTGGATCAATTCTTTATTGTGCCGCCGCTCCCAGTTACCTAGTATATATATATATATATATATATATATATATATATATATATATATATATAATTATTTTCCTAACAAATAATAGGAAAATAAATCCTAATAAATTCCTAAAAATATCAGAAAAATTCCAGAAAATTACAGAACAATTCTAGAAAATAAAGAAACCATAATTAACTCTCTTGGGTCACAAATCCACCTATAGATTGATTTTAAAATATACATAACACCTATATATATCAATTAAAATCCAATAATCTAAAAATCAAATATAATAGTTTATACTTTTTAATTATTCCGATCTAACCATAATTTTTAAACAAATAAATTTAATTAAAGCCTTGATACTCAAGGTGAAATCCTTATGAGTTCTAAGAGGAAAGTTAGAGAAAACTCGCCTGAAGGTTTCGAAACGAAACCGACGCTTTAAGCTTTAATTATCTCTTCCAATTCCGACGTCCTCCTTTTCAGATCCGACCTCCTCCTTGTCAGCCCTTCTTCTTCCTCTCTCTCTGTCTGTTTTATTTTTCTAACGTGTAAAACCTTTAACCCTAAAGCCTTATGTGTATTTTTATACACCTTAAATTCCAAATCCTATTCCAACTAGTATTATGAATTAAAATAATAATCTTTAAATAATTTATATCTATAAACATATATATATATATAAATATATATTCCTTCCATAATTAATTCATTGGTTAATTAAATCATATATACTTATAAATATCAATAAATATATATCTATATATATATCTTTCCATAACAATTATTAATTAATTATATTTATATATAATTATATATATATATATATATATATATAATTGATACAAAAGTGATTATTTAAATAATTAAATAACCACGGACCTTCATTAATTAACCCAATAAGGTTTCATACAAGCCCAAGACTACATCTTTTGGTCCAACTTTCCTTAAGCCCAATCCAATTAATTTAAATAAATAAGATAATTAATTAAATACAGAAATTAAAATACTAATTACATGAAGCACATAAACAAACAAGAATTTACAACTAAGTCATATAATACCAATAAAATCAACACACCAATAATTCAATCAATAATCAACCACACAAACAATCAATCATCATACATAATCACGAAATATAACTTAATTAAAATAAGATAATTAATCTAGCACTCAATAAAATAAAATAAATCATTGAAAAATAAAATAAAATAATTAATCCTAATTAATAAATCTTTTAAAATTATCGGGGTATTACACATACACATATATTTATTACACGTTATCTATTTTGTGATGTTAGTTTGATAGATTGTTGGGTTAGTTTGCTTTATTGAAGAAAATAATATTTCTAACTTCAAAGGGTAAGAAAATTTTAATTATGGATTATTGTTCATAAAATAAATTGGTTCACTTAAATGATATATGTGCTTACACTATGGTCGGTTCTACCACCTTTATTATTTAATAATTTATGGCCGATTTTACTACCTTTATTATTTAATAATTTATTTCCTATGGCTGGTTTTACCACCTTTGTAATTTAAATAATTCATATTATGTTATTATTTCATTTCATGCCATTTATTTATATACTATGCTAAATTATATTTTTATATTGTTATCACATCTAGTTATTCTGAAAATGTCAAATCTAACAAAGCTGGAATTCGTGGCCCTGGATATTTCTGGCAAAAATTATTTATCTTGAATTCTGGATACTCAGATCCATTTGGATGCCATGGTTCTAGGAGACACAATCAAAGAAAAAAATAATGCATCATTGCAAAATAAAGCAAATGCCATGATTTTACTCCGGCACCATATTAGT